CACATCCTATATACAGTGTATAGAACGTGATACAGAGTAGCAGCAGCCGCTGCTAGATCTGCCGGCCAGAGTCACCAGATTCTGCCCATGTGGATGCGGCCTAATATGAGGAGAGGCTGCAATCCCACTCAGGTGCTCGCCTAGGGTCCTGCAATCAGCATGCTTCCAACAGATTGGGTAACTTTGGATCTCTGTAGGAGGCATGTCGGACCTCTGCAGAGAGACCACTGCTTCCAAACACAGAGCAAGGGTCCCTCTCTGCAGCATGCTGTTCAGGGACAGTCTTTTCTACTCTGTGGCTGATTTTGAAACGAAACCAACCGTCTGCACCTTTTGTTTTGATGCACGGGGTTGTATTTGGCCGATTTAAGCCGGGCTTTAACATGACGGTAGGATGAAGTCTGGCTTGTGGGGACACAAATTGGCAACATTGTCACAGGTTCGAGGTCGTTAGAATTCTGAATGACATTGTGCCTGCGTGATGCTGAATCAGGAGCTGGGAGCCCCTCGCTGGGCCCCTGTCCCTAAATCCATCACAATGGCCTGATTATTATACTCCGGTGACAGAGGGGCCCCCAGGCAGGATGCAGAAGGAACAGGGGCAACACCGAGGCCGCCGGCCTTTCCTATCAGACGTGTTATCAGCCTGAGGAAGGTTTTCAGAATCCTAAAATCGTGCACCAGGATGCAGATTATTGTGCATGGTGACTCCTGTGTGAGGAGACACACCGAGCACACCGGGCACACCAAGCACACGCACACCAAGCACCCCGAACACACCGAGCACAACGAGCACACCGAGCACCCCGAGCACCCCGAGCACACGCACACCGAGCACCCCGAGCACCCCGAGCACACGCACACCGAGCACCCCGAGCACCCCGAGCACACGCACACCGAGCACCCCGAGCACCCCGAGCACACGCACACCGAGCACCCCGAGCACCCCGAGCACACGCACACCGAGCACCCCGAGCACCCCGAGCACACGCACACCGAGCACCCCGAGCACCCCGAGCACACGCACACCGAGCACCCCGAGCACCCCGAGCACACGCACACCGAGCACCCCGAGCACCCCGAGCACACGCACACCGAGCACCCCGAGCACCCCGAGCACACGCACACCGAGCACCCCGAGCACCCCGAGCACACGCACACCGAGCACCCCGAGCACCCCGAGCACACGCACACCGAGCACCCCGAGCACCCCGAGCACACGCACACCGAGCACCCCGAGCACCCCGAGCACACGCACACCGAGCACCCCGAGCACAACAAGCACACCAAGCACACGCACACGGAGCACACCAGGCGCACCGAGCACCCCGAGCCCACCAAGCACACAGAGCGATCCCATTTCTGCTGCAATTGTTAGTAAATAAAGGCAAATGTTTCATATTAGGGGAACATTGTTTATTTTTTTATCCTTTCCTCCAAAATTGTAATAAATATGTTTACAAAACAACTCGCAAAAGTTTAATTTTCTCTGTTTCATTGTTATCACTGTTATGTGTGAGCGAGCCAAATGGTCACAGCGCCAGTCTAATGATCTGGAGATTAAAGTGGCCCTGTCACCACATGGGGTTGCCACCTTTTCTTCAAGCGAAACCTGAACACTCTAGCGACGTGCAGACATGTTTCTGGGGAGAATGAGTCGCGGCTTATTCATATGTAAATATCACAGTGGAGACTATTTTCAGTGGGGGGCCAGTAGCCCCTATCTTAATTTTGGTTGCCCCTGTCTGCTCAACATCTTGTGTCCGGGTTTCTGCTGCCATGATCCCAGACACGGCATTCGAAACCCGGACTGTCCGGGTAACTCCTGGACATGTGACAACCCTATCACCACATGGTCACTGATGCCCTATACCCAGGCTGTAAATGTGTAGTAGGTGTGTGATCGCGCTGGACTGATGAGATTGGAAGTCGGTGACGCGGTTCTAATGAATAAAGTATAATGTCCGTTCTCCTTGTAAGAGGTGAGATTATGATAAAAGTTTGGGGTGTATGGGTGCGATTCTGGGCATAGGCTGCTAGCCTTCTAATCAGGACAGTCAAATGTCTCAACAACTTCTGGTGTGTGTGGTTAGGAGTGCCTAGTACAAATGTGCATCACACTCTTGGATAAGAGTATCAGATAAGCCAACGCGTTTCGAGGGAAAGGACTCCCCTTCTTCAGGGCTTAAACAGTGGTTTGTAATAGAATCAGGATTGAGCACAGTAGGACCTTTCTCAACCAGGGTGCCTCCTGGCTTACTTAGGGGTGCCATAGTCATGTCTTTCCATGGTGCAGGCAAGCTCCTGATGATGTGAAAGGGTAACTTCGATGTGAAAGAGGGAGGACTCTGATATGAAAGGGAGGGGGGCTCTGATGTGAAAGGGGGGCTCTGATGTGAAATGCAGGGACTCTGATGTGAAAGGGGGACTCTGATGTGGAAGGAAGGGGGGGTTAATGTGAAGTGGGTTACTCTGATGTAAAGGGGAACCCCCCATTTTTTATTGAGTCTTTGCTTGGGGTCCCCCATTAAAATCCATACCAGACCCCTATCTGGGATAGGGGTCTGGTATGGATTTTGGAAGGGCCACATGCCCATTGCTGCATATGTTGTCAAGAACCTATTCCTGCAGACCAGTAAACTATCTGACAGGTCCACTTGTACCAGGTATGGTTGCAGAGTTCCGCTGGTGCTCGGTGGACTCGGACTGCATTGAGCATGAACGGACTGATAATTGTGTTTAGCCACAAAAAGCTAATATGACATTTTCCCAGACATTGCTCTGCTGCGCAGATACATCACTTGCTGGAGCACTACTACTCCCAGCATGCCATGTGAGGTAGAATCATATATCTCTAACACTGAAGGAGTCAAAGGTCTCGGCATTCCTTCCTAGTAAAAACACCGAAACCAATATTCTATTTAGGTACAGAAATGTATTTAATATGGAAGCCGGTCAGTGATTAGATGCCCCTCATCCCCAAATATAGAACAGCCCTATGGAAATCCCAGCATGCAAAAACTTAAAAAAATCCATCCCTGTGGGAACAGGGGTGGGCAACTCTGTTCCTCCAGCTGCTGTGGAACCACAAGTCCCATGAGGCACTACAAGACTGACAGTCACAGGCATGACTCCCAGAGGCAGAGGCGTGATAGGATTTGTAGCTAAAGCACAGCTGGAGGGCCAGAGTTGCCCACCCCCTAGAACAGGGGTATCCAAACTCCGGCCATCCCAGCTGTTGTGAAACTACAAATCCCATGATGCATCTCTCTCCAGGACTCATGCCTGTGGCTGTGAGAATCTTGCACTGCCTCATGGGATTTGTAGTTCCACCACAGCCGGAGGGCCGCAGTTGCCCACCCCCTAGAAGCACTGGTACAGCCTAATATTATAGGGACATCCATTCCAAACTGCATCCAGCCCTCCCTTTTATTGTACCTGGATCCGCATATTGTAGAACTATAACTCCCAGCATGCCCACGCAGACAAATCTATCACTACATCCACCACCTGTTGAACTAACAGTCCCAGAGTGCCCCTTTAATCCAGAGTCAGGTGCCCCGCTGCTGCAGCACAACAAGACCCAGCAAAACGATGCCAACCTAGGCTGTTATGCTAGCGCCCCACCCAGGCAGCAGCAGGCGTCATAGGGCGTCATTCCTGCTAAAGGAAAACTTATATGCTCACTACAGGCAGCATCTTACCTCAGATAACTCAGTGTGGGGACAAAGTCACATCCCTTGGATCTACTCCTGAAGGAAACCTCTGGCCTCTCTTCTTCTTCCTGCACCCAGTAAGTTCTCTTCTGATCACATCTCTGTGTATTGTCTGTGCAGACCTCTCTCTGCCCTCTGATCGCATCACTTGCTGGAGTTCTCTTCATTGTGCTGGCTGAGCTGGTTCTGTATCTCTGCACAAGAATCCAATTCTGGCCGGAAACAGCAATTTATATTTGTATACAATGTTATTACAAGTCTGATTGTTACCTAGTTGCTGTTTTTTTTTATTGTTTTATCCATTTTTTTTACATTTTTCCCCTTGTTGCTGGGAATGTAGATGTCTAGGAGATGATACTGGGTGTGACTCCTGCTGGACTGCAGATAGCAGGAGAGACACCCAGCCAATGCTGTGCCAATGTTGTGCTTTTCCAAAATCTGCCTCTGGACAGGTCACCAAATGCCCTTTACAGACTGCAAATAATACTTTTAAAAGGTATTATAATCCCTGTGTTCTTTATTTTACATAATATATATAAATTTTTTTTTACATGTATATTATGTTTTTTTTAATATATTTTTCCTATATTGGGGAGATGTGAATAGAAGAAAAACACATGTGCAGCCTTTTTTTGGGGGGGATGGTGGACAGTTACCCACCAAATGAGCATGTTTCCACTGAAATTACCCTTGACATTTCTGCACAGGACCGTTGCCAGGGACGCAAATCTTTTCAGGAACTCAGGCTGGGTTTAAAAACCCCCCCAAAAAAAAAGCCTGATTCATAATATAACCTTATTAATCCCATATGTCAGTCATGCGGGGGAAAAAAAAAAGAAAAAAAGTAGCAAAAACGTATAAAAAACAGATGTGGAGAAGTTGGAATTTCTGGGTGTGTAAGCTGGAGTGAGAGTTAAAAAACAAACAAACAAAAAACCCCCTTCAGTTTTAACTCTTTCCAAGCAATGCCAGCTTGACCTAGGGGGTCAGGAAGGAGTTAAATTGTAAGGTGGTTAAAACACATGAGAAAAGTTTTGATGAATAAAGCACTTTTTTTTGGTCTCCCAGCAGCTACAAACTAAAAGCAAACATTAAAAATCCCCTACTGGCCAATGGCTGCATAGCTGTAAAAAAAAAAAAACGACACACCCATTCTTCAACCTTGTGTCCTGCCTCTCCCAGTCTGTGACTTCACTCCGAAAGCTGCTCATAGAGGGACAACAAGGAGCCCAACAGAGGGATTTAAACCAACATTTCTTCTCTTTTTGTTTTTTCCCCCCTTAGGAATCCAAATACTTGACTGAAAATGCTTCTCTTATTGCTCGGGATCATAGTTCTGCATGTGGCAGTGCTGGTGCTGCTCTTCGTGGCTACAATTGTCAGCGTAAGTACTCCGATCTCTTCCTAAAAAAAAAAGATAACTTTAAACATATGTGCCCCTCAGCCAGAGGCTGGAGACTTAGCGGGACTCGACCTTCCTAAACAGAACACTTTCCTTTGACCTCAGGGGTCTGTTTTGTACGCATCTGACATCTACGTGTCTATTAGGATTCTGTAAGATACGTTGATGACATATTTTATGTGTTTATTAATATTTGATAGATTTTTTTTTTCATGCATTAAGAAGAATCCACTTAAATCTGGCTCTAAAATATTGTATTCATTTATTTTTTTTTTTAAAGGAGGCTTTTTTATTATTTAAGAAGCTGTTGAGATGTACATATGCTATACTATTATGCTATACTATTATGCTATACTACCCCTAAGTGAACAATGTATTATCGGGCTGCGAACAGGGTGTGCATTCGGAGAACAATATAGAAATATATTATTTATAACAATGGAACGGAAAGAAAAAAAAGAAGCACTTGTTTTCATTAAAGTGGCCCCCCCCCCATTTCAAATAAAAAACATCTTTAAAATGAATAAATTATAATCTTTAAATTCCGCTTTTCAATCCCGTAGAAGCTTTTCGGAGTTTGGAACTTCAATCTAAAAATGTATCTTTTTTTTTAACCTCCCCCCCAAAAATAGCCATTTGTGTGTTACCCCGCCACAAGGTAACACATTCTGCTACTCTGTATCTTTTTTTTACATTGTGTCGTTCGCGAGCTGCAATGCTAAATTTGGCAGACGACTCCAAAACCCACCAAAAATCTAGACTTTCCATTGCCCGTGACGTGGAAATTTTGGAGGGCCGCTCAGGAAAATTTGCTGATGCGTTTTCCAGGTTAAGGGTTTGTTACGACATGATGTCGTTTTAATCCAGACAGAAGTCCGCCCAGGTTTGTGTCTGTAGCGGTGGCACACTTGGCTCCTGCCTTGGGGTAATTAAACTTAGGAAATGTTACATTTTTTTTCCACTCCGTTTCATGTTCTTTATGCATTTCTCCTAAAAAAGTGCGAGGTGTAAGGATTGGTTGCGCGGAGTTAAGGGCGTGTTTGCTTGCAGCGTCTAGGACACCATTGGCTTACACCGCAAGCCCCGGGTCCACCCATCATATTGCAGCTTTAAGAGGGCGAGATCGATGGACCAGTCTGGTTAGTTTTGTATCTGCTCTCTTAAAACAGCCATGCCGGCCTCTCCTTCCCCACCAGGGGGCGCCGATGAGCCGGGTCCACGGCGGTTAACAGAATGTGTTGACAAGAGAATTTCCTTGCTGGACTCTTTGGTATTCCGAGAATCACATACGCCAGAAACACGAGCGTCAGCCGTAGTACAGTTGCCAGTGAACGAGCGCTCTGTTTTTATAAACAGCCCTGGGGTCCTTACCTGGGTTCCGTGTGCACAGGTTGCCATGTGGCTCTGCCAAGTGCATTGTGTATATATGAAGCCGTGCGCTCGATGGGGAAAGGTCGCGAAAAATGAATCTTTATTAATTTCCGGGAAGGATTTTTGGCTGTTTGCATTTTTTGTTTTTTGTTTTAGTGAAAGGCGGCCATCTTGTTTGCCCAACCCCCGTGTAGTCTATTGGTTTAGCGGGCACAAGACAATAAGGCGACGAGTCCCGTTTAGCAAGGCGTGTCTTCGGGTTCCCGAAACATCGTTTTGCTGCGTTCTTTAACACGGGTTGGTTTGGGAACGCCGGCTGGTGTTGCAGGTGTTCCCGGACACGCCCACTCCTTGCAGAGAAAGCTTATTACCAGACAGAACCAAGACGTATGTCACCTCCACCAATTGGATTCAGACCTGCCGCGGAATGTAACCGGCCAGACAGGAAGCAGAGAGAAGGGAAATGACTTCATAGGGATTTAGGTAAAGTACAGTGAGCCTGTGAGGTGATCTGTGAACTATCGAAAGCTCCAACTCATCGAGATCTCCAACTACCTCACTTCCGGTGCTCAGAAAGACCGAAGTAATATCGATTATAATCGATTATGTCCATTAGTTGTTGCAGCCCTAGGCCGAAGCCCTGTACAGTTGCGGTGCGCATGCGCGGCATAGCGTTTTCAGAATACTCGTCGAGTTTGCCACCTGCTGAATATTGTTACAATGCGGCTGTACAGAAGCTCCGTCAGTCTTTGTGTGTTGCAGTCTAACGCCGTCTGGTCGAAAATCTCCAACTTGCAAGTACCCGGCAGTGAGGTGGTTGGAGATTTCGACGGGTTCGAGCTTTCGATAGAACACCGGCTGCAGGAGGCATAAGAGACAGATTAAGGTGGAACGAGCGAACGTTCGAACTTACAGAAGAACCCCCGGGTAAAAGTTTTATTAACCATTGCAGTGGGGATACCCCCCTTTTTTCCACTGTGGCAGAGAAGGAGAGGGGCCCCAGGGACCAGTCTAAAAGTCCAAAGATCGGGTGAGTATTGGACCCAGACAAAAACAAGCGCTTAACCCTTGCAGTGCCGGGGGTGTGTGTGTGTCCGCTGCAAAAGTTTTGCCCGAAGTCATGCTCTGAACTCTAGTAGACTTCTGTCAGATCACCGCTCGCGGGTGCCAGGCCCACTCTGGGGTCCGCCCCCTCCCCATAGCCAAAAGTCCAGGTCGTGCACCGCTTTTTCCCTTCAATAAACTTTATTGACAACACTACATGGCCATTCTTGCATCATTACTCCTGACATGAAGACTGGCCCACGCGCCTTTACATGGCTATTCTTGTATCTTCCCCTCAGCCGGATGTGGCTCCTCCTTTCTCCCTAATTAGGGCTTACTCATAGAGCTCCCTGAGGGCAAAACGCGTCAGTGGAGGAGTCAGTTAAAGCGAGAGTAACGATGCCATGGTCATGTAGCGGTGTTAATACCACTTACAGTTACACTTTCAGCACAGCTGCAGTGTTTGCTGGATGGCAGATGTAGCCGGTTGGTTTCCCTCGTTGCCAGAGACAACATCCAGTTATTGCGTTGGAGAACAGTTGTCTTCAGTGCTGAACAACGAGCAGACTTGACAGCGAATAAAGAATTTCTCTTCTCCTTCTAGTTCAGGTGTGGCCAACTCCGCCCCTCCAGCTGGAACTACAAGTCCCATGAGGCATTGCAAGACTCTGTCAGCCACAGGCAATTACTCCCAGAGGCAGAGGGACTCTTAGAGGGCCCGGGGTGATAGTTGGTCATTGCAGAAGACATTTTATATCACATCACTGTGCAAGACGTTGTTTCTGAGTCCGCCGTGCTTTGTGCCGAGTCCTGATATTAACCTTCACAGACCCGGTATTAAAGTGGGCCGTTATAAAAGACACAAATGTACGCAGCTCTGCCATCAATAATACATCATGTCAGTGTAAGCAGTGTAAGTGCTAAATGGCTGTGCAGCAGGGCAGGGCTGGAATGTGAGAGGATGCTGATAGGAGGAGAGAGCAGAGTGACTGAGAGTTGATCTCATCACTGTGCTGCTTCTCCTTTCACTGTCCAGTCACAGGCTGGGGGCGGGTCCCATGGATTTAGAGAAATGGGGTTGAATAATGCAGACTGAGGACATCTAGTGGCAGAAAAGAAGCACCGCGGGGCAAATATGTGCATTTGAATATTGCAGCAAAACCAGCTTGTGTTATTTTTCCTTTATGGGCAATTCATTATTATTTTAGTATTTCAGGTCGGAGTATTGCTTTATCTTACTAGCAAGCCAGCCAAATTGCACACTCTGGCTGGCAGGGTTAAAGTGTGTGTCCGGGGAAGGGTTAGAACCCCCATCAGGTTTTCACCTCTATTAGCGACTTCATTAGGGTTGCCACCTGCCCCGGCTTCCCTAGGACAGTCCGGGTTTTGAGTCCTGTACGTGTCTGGGTTTCAGCTGGCCTGATACCCGGAAAGAGCACATACAGTACTCAAAGCCCGGACTGTCCAGGTGAATCCGGGACAGGTGGCAACCCTAGACTCCATTAGAGAGCTTCCCCCTCACTTCCTGTCCTGCTGACAACATTTTACTAGACAGGAAGTGAGTGCAACTCTCTTACAGAGACACAGACACCCCTTAGTAGAGCAAAGAAAGGCCAGAACCTGTGTGTCCCTGTGGCAGATTTCCCTTCACTTCCTGTCTGATAAAACTGTTGTCACCGGGACAGAAAAGTCAGGGCAAATCTTTCAAATAGAGCCCCGGATAGCAGTAAAAAACGGAACATTCCCCACCTATCCCAAGCTAGACAAATGCATTTTGGCTTTACATGCACTTTAAGGCATTCCAGAATGAGAGAAAGGGGCAAAGGGCAGCAGGCAGAGGCGTCACAAGGGGGGTGTGGCCCGCACCGGGTGACACCATCTGAGGGGGTGACACCAAAATGACTGACAGTCACTTTGTTGTCACCCCTTCTGAAAAGTGGGCTGAGAGCCCGACAGCTGCATGAGAGAGGAGGGGACCCGGTGGCATACCTTGACTCTCTCTGTTAAGTGTAAGTGACGTCATTACACACGTGCGGTTTGGCGCCATGCACGCGTATAACGACGTCGCCCGTGTGCATGTTGGTGTCCCAGTAGGTGACACCCGGCCTGGGGACACCTCTGCCAACGGGCAATAGGTTCCCATCTACACTCCTCTTTCTACAGCTGAAGCAAAGCCATATGTCATGCTAAACAACCAGGTAAAGGAAGTGTTGGGGTGGCGGCCTCAGAGCTCGCACTGTTTCAGTGGGCGGATTTCTGAGGGAGTAGGGTCGCCGCCTGTCCCGGATTCACCTGGACAGTCCGGGTTTTGAGTGTCTGGTTGTGCTGTGTCTGGGTTTCATTTGCCTCCTGTTCCGGTTTCACCTGGACAGTCCGGTTTTTGAGTCCTATATGTGCTGTGTCTGGGTTTCATTTGCCTCCTGTTCCGGATTCACCTGGACAGTCCGGGTTTTGAGTGTCTGGGTGTGCTGTGTCTGGGTTTCATTTGCCTCCTGTTCCGGTTTCACCTGGACAGTCCGGGTTTTGAGTCCTATATGTGCTGTGTTATAACTGCTGACTGGCGTTCCCCCATAATGGGTGTAGTCAAAGGGCGACGGCCGCAGATCTGTGGCGCCACCTCCTGGCCTTTAGAAAATGCCAACCAGCCTTCTGAAAACGGTTTATGTGCAAAGTCAGCTGGTAGGAACGGCGCCTTTAGGGAACTTATTGGTGTCTTTCTTTGCAGTTAGACCGCTGACATGGTTGAAGTCAGTCAAGAAGTGATCAACAACATCAAGGGGCCTTACCTCTCCATCCTCATACTAACACTTTGGGTCTTTTTCTTTCTCCACCAGAGCTGGCTGGTCGGCAATGCCTATTCGGCGGACTTGTGGCAGAACTGCACCGAGGGCGCCACCAATACATGGAACTGCGTGAACGCGTCCAGCAGCGGTGAGTCCTCCGGAGTGGAGCAACCTAGCTGGGTCATATCTATGTCTATCTATTAGCATGTTCCTATCTAAGACATCACTGGAATTGCTGGGTCCTTTCTGTGCCAAAAAAAAAGTCTAGCAACTAAGAAAAGGACAAGGAGAATGGAAGAAAGCAAAAGTCATGTGCTGTGTGAGAGAAGTAAACAGAGGCAGTCAACTTCCGCTACCATAGACTAACTTATCTAGGTTGATCGATTCCTTATAAGAAAGAAAAAGAGAATACATTGACAACAATAATAGTAATTTATATGTCAAAGAATGTGAACTGAACTGTGTTTGGCTGATTTTAGAGTCGGACGTGCTAACAGCCCTTGAGTGAAGAAAAAGCTGGGCGCCAGACGGCGCTATTAGCAATCTGCCATATGTGAATCACTTTGGGGATTATTTGTGCCCCTTGCCCTTTTCGGATTCTGGACTATAACCCGGATAAAAATAGAGTTATAGTCTGGATTCTATTGGCCCTTCATCTCACGTTTCAAAGGGGCCCCATAGAGAGCAATGTTGGGGAGAAGCCTTAGCTCTGGGCTCCCTCTTGTGGCGGTTTGGTATAACTGCAGCAGAAGGACACACAAGTCCTCAAACACGAGTCTCCCTTGGTCCCGGAGTGTCGAATTTGGTGGAAAATTACTTATGAGTCATTTGGCTGCTTTTTTTAGACTCGTCACAGATGTGGAATTCTACAGTTATGCAGACACTTTCGGGTTTATTCAGGGCAGTCCAAAAGTGACAGTTCAGTAACCCTTACCAGCCAATCAGAAGTCAGAGTATCCTAGTCAGAGCAGAGAGACCCGCTTCACACATTGACTGCACTAAGTAGACCTGCATAGGCGCAGATGAGAATGTTACCGTTACATTCATTCAGCATCAGTTGGTTACATTGTTGCAGGTTGGCAGATTTGATAGTATTGACTTATCTGAGGCGTCATTCAGAAATTCTATGACTTGTACAGTACACAGGGCCCATACAAACCGCGGGAAAGAGAATCCAATGTGTGGGTTGAGGGACATTTTACACCTAAACAATTATTTAAATTATTATTATACAGGATTTATATAGCGCCAACAGTTTAGAGGCGGAGTCTTGTGGGCTAAATGACCTTGTGGCCCTTGGACATTCTGCCTACCAGTTCTCCCTGCCATAGATGACAGCTTTGTACCTGACCATCTTGGATATTCAATGCTCCTTCATACTGAATGCATTGCAGCAACGCACGTTACTCCAAGCACCGAATATGAAGGGTTTCGGTGATGAAACTGGTCTCCAGTGATTGGATAGGCTGCGTTCTCATGAATATGAAGGGTCTCGGTGATGTCACTGGTCTCCAGTGATTGGATAGGCTGCGTTCTCATGAATATGAAGGGTCTCGGTGATGTCACTGGTCTCTAGTGATGGGATAGGCTGCGTTCTCATGAATATGAAGTGTCTCTGTGATGTCACTGGTCTCTCAGGTGGCCTCTGCAAGGTGTCAGGTGGGCTGTGCGGGGTCTCTGGTATGTGTGGGGTATCAAGTGGGTCCTGCAGGATCTCAAGTGGGCTATGCGAGGTCTCAGGAGGGCTGTGCGGGTCTCAGGTGGGCTCTGCGGGGTCTCAGGTGCGCTCTGCAGGACCTCTGGTGGGCTGTGCAGGATCTATGGTGGGCTGTGCGGGGTCTATAGTGGGCTCTGCAACAGTGAGTGGGAACGTGTTCTGGAGGTAGGTCCTATTTTTTTCTTCTTTTAGTGGGGGAGTGGGGGCATTCAAAATTTTGCTATGGGGCCCTGTGATTTCTAGTTATGCCCCTGCTGCATTCTCATGAATATGAAGGGTCTCAGTGATGTCACTGGTCTCTAGTGATGGGATAGGCTGCGTTCTCATGAATATGAAGGGTCTCGGTGATGTCACTGGTCTCTAGTGATGGGATAGGCTGCGTTCTCATGAATATGAAGGGTCTCGGTGATGTCACTGGTCTCTAGTGATGGGATAGGCTGCGTTCTCATGAATATGAAGGGTCTCGGTGATGTCACTGGTCTCTAGTGATGGGATAGGCTGCGTTCTCATGAATATGAAGGGTCTCGGTGATATCACTGGTCTCTAGTGATGGGATAGGCTGTGTTCTCATGAATATGAAGGATCTCGGTGATATCAGGGCTATGTATTTGTGCATATGAGGCGTCTCGTTGATGTGACTGGTCTTCGGTGGATAGATTGGCTTTGTTCCCATGAGTTCTGTCTAGTTATTAGATGCAGAGTAATGCTTTCTTTCTTTGGCATCCCTCCATCCAAATGACTTATTGCACTGAATCAATGAACATTCAGAATGATTCCTCCATATACACCATAATCCAGGCTGTCACGCCCAGACTGATCTATAAGAGTTGGCACAGGCCAGTTAAGTGCTTCCTGCTCAGAGATTATAAATAATAAATAATTGTGTTTCTTTTTTTTGCTCTTTTTAATTTCATTGACAGAATGGCTCCAGTCCGTCCAGGCGATGATGATATTGTCTATCATCTTCAGCGTCCTGGCCTTGTTCCTCTTCTTCTGCCAGCTGTTCACGCTTACAAAAGGTGGACGTTTCTACCTAACTGGAATCTTCCAGCTTCTTGCAGGTAAGACGCCCGAAACGGGCAAATTCTCTTCTGATGTTTTATAGTAGGAGCCCAGATCAGTCTTTTTTCTTATGTTTTCAGTGGAGTAGGAAAGCAATAGACCCTTTTCCAGGTCTGTATTGCTGTCTGAGTCCCTGTAGGAGAAATTCCCCTTAATTGCTACACCGGTGACCCTACAGGAAGTGAGAGGAGACCTCCCAAGTACAGACACAAACCAAAGTAAAAAACCTGGCAGAGGTTCTAACTCCTCCTCCACTCTACCCAAAGCTAAAAAAAAATCAATTTACAGAGCCATTCACCTTTGGGAAACTTTGTGAACATTCCTTGTGTACAAATAGAGGCAAAAACGAACATTCTTCGCATATTTTCTTTTCAGCTCTAATATAAGATTCGGAAAATACCCTATTTTGGCCACTAGTTGGAGCTGAGGAGCATAGGAAATAAATACTTAAATGCTCCTCAGCTCCATCTAGTGGCCAAAATACAGTATTTTCCAAATGTTACATTCCAAAAGAAAATATAACTAAGAACGTTAATTTTTGCCTCTATTCGCACAGAACGAACATTCACAGAGATTCACAGGGTGAATGTCTCTGCAGATTGTTTCTAAATAGACCCCTGTGTGTTCCATATGCAGCAGAGCTGAACAAGAACATTTTCTAATCAACACAATGGGGCATGACCAGAACTGAGCAGCTGAGTAAAAGTTTGCAGGCTTTGCCATGGCAGGGTGGAGATTAGACCTCATTCAGTGCCCCATTCAGATCGGCCCGGCGGGCTGAGCCGAGGATTACCAATTCTGTGTGCTGCGGCATAGCTGGCCGCTGACTCATCTTAAGTTATTATTTGGACAACTGTTTCCCCTGAAAGGCCGCTCCGTGACTGAATTGCCACTTGTATTCTGACAGCTCTGACCATGGTGTAATGTTGCATTGCTTTTTTATTGTAACGAAAACTTCACAGGGAAGCCGATGGTTATGTTTGTTTAGTATTTGTTCATTTTGTGTTTTCAATGTAACCTTTTTTGTTACTGTATTTGTTCTCTTGGAGGGAGTTCCAGCTGTTGACATCCGTATATTGTAACTGTGTTACCTGCTGAAAGATTTGTATTCCTGTCTGTTTAGTCCTGAGATTTATACAGCCTCCCAGGGTGGTGATCTGTCTTTTCTCTACGGCCGTTAAGCAACATATAAATGAGACAAAAAGAGAGCACCAAACAATCCACACAAGAGTCCAAAAGTCCTTTAATAATATCACAGGGGACAGGGGAACAGTGGCGTCACAAGGGAGGTGCGGCCCGCACCCGGTTTACACCATTGCAGGGGTGGCACCAAAATGACTGGCAGTCATTTTGGTGTCACCCCCTCTAAAAAGTCGGGGCACTCGGTCATGGACCGAGAGCCCGACAGTGTCAGGAGAGAGGAGGGGACCCGGCGGCATACCTCATCCGGCCGGGTGAACATTCACTCCTCTCTCGCGTCAATCAGATGGCCGTGCATGACACCCGGCCTCGGGATGCCCCTGCAGGCGAAACAAAAGGTATCCAACGCATTGCAGGGGCCAAAACTCCCCCTCCATCGGGGCTTGGACAGGATAGCAAACTATCTATAGGACTCAAAACATAAGCTCCTGGATGCCAACGTGAAAGTTAGTATGACGATGTGTCTGCATCAACAGTCATGTGATGTCACATCTTTCACTTTTTTTGCTATAATGTCAAGTCCTGATCAAGAGGGATTTTTAGGGTCCTGAAATGCATTTGGATGTCTTTTGTTTCTCCTGTGGACTTATTTGACCCCCACCTCAACTAAACAATACAATCAGGTCACTTCCCCACCTCAGTCTGTGATAGGATTGTGAGGGAGCAGCAGCAGACCAATGAACCCAAAAAATGCAAATTTTTTGGGACTGCCATTAAAAAGTCTGTGGGGCCAAAAATGCGCAATTCTGCCCAAAAGAGTTCATATACGTTTTTGGGCTCCGACTGACAAACGACAAGAAACACAACCAGGGCCATCCCTATAATGAGGCATCTCATTGGGTCACGTAGGGGGAGCTTTTAGCTACCTGTGGCGCTCTGGCTGGTGTCCCGCCCAGCTCCTGGCAACCAGTGACATCAGTGAGCTGGGTGAGATGCCGTATAGAGCCAGAGGTACCAGCAGCACCACCCCTTCCCTGGTAACGTGCACCAGCACCCTTAACCCCCCCCACCTAGTAAGTCTAGGGACACCCCTGAATACAACATTTGGCTGGCAATGGGCACCTTTGGAAAATAATGGGATTCTTCATGTTGATCGTTGTCACACTTCAGGAAATGCACAACAAACCAATCAGGTGTGAAGTAGCGTATTCGATGGCCATTGATTGTTTTGTCCCTTACAAAGTTTCTTACTTGGAGATCCTGCCAGTAACATCACTTCCTGTTGCAGGCTGACAACGTTAAGCCATTGCTGAATCTCCACGTCAGCAACTTTGTAACCAAGTCACAAAACACAATTTGCTTAGGAAAATGACCTTTCACAGAGATTCGCAGGGCGAAAGGCTCTGCGCATTGTTTATAAATAGATCCCTTTAAATCCCACCTTATACCCCACAAGCTGCCATTGATGGGAACAAACAAGAAGTGCCATTGTGACATGAGACTCGAACGGTCCAGCTTTCAGGCTCCTGGACATAAGACACGCCGAGTGAAATGCCACACTTGGATGGAATTGCCGTTTGTGTCTCCGCAGCCGCAGTCTTGGCATGGCCTTCAGATATTGTTGTTTCCGACAAAAAAAAAAAGCGCTCACACGGTCTTCCTTGTCTTTAAATGTCGTTGGACCCGGCCAGTAGGAGGTTTGGCCCGGTGGAGACACTTGGCATGTTCGGAGAATGCCCAGAGCAGCATTTTCTTGAACAAAGTCCGCAGTGTGAACCGGGCCGTCACAGTTGGTGTCTTGTGTACTGTCAATTATAGGAAATGACCACGGGGGGCAAAATCCATTCAACGGGACAATGCTGGTCATGGAAATCCAGAGTGAGCTAGATGGGAAAATGAAAGGACTTCCAAAACTGAAATCCCACACAGATCAGAATTCAATAACGTATAGACAGACGGAAAGGAAATGGAAAATATTTTAATGCAAAGCAGATCTAAACCCAATCACTCAAATCTTATATAAACGCTTTAACATCTTAATCTCATTTCATAAGTTGTTAGTGTGTTTAAATCTGCAGCTTTCATTTTAAACAAAAACAACCCCAGGTGATCCTGCCATATGTAATTGTTAACCCCTATCCCTCATGTGTATATAATATATAGATATCACCCAGTGCAAATAAAATTTTAACATACCATTTTCATCACAACATAGTTACATAGTTACATAGTATTTGGGGTTGAATAAAGACATACGTCCATCAAGTCCAACCCATATAGGTCCACGCAACAACACTTTTTAATTCATTTGAGATCAGGCGAGGAAGGGTTAAATCCTCAGGTTATTTTATTTTTGTTGCTGTCTGTAACCCTGAGGGGAGATTTATCCCCACTTCTTGTCTCTTTGCTGCCAAAAAAAGGTGAATTCTCCAATCGGAGACATCAATGAAAAAATAGACAGGTCCTAACCCTTACCCGCCCTGACCCAAAACCTTTCCATTCTATTAAAGAAAGAATTGATGTCATTGTTGCATAGTTTCGGATCACTTTCTGTTCCAGTGACCACATAGGAAATGAGGTTTCCTAAATGGGGACACAGACAGCGATAAAAGTCTAAGGGGAGGAATTCATAGGACCGGGACCCAAAGACTATTGGTATTATTATCCAATAATGCTGCAGTGGTCTTTCAGCAGGGGGTCTGGAATCTGGGCTGGCAGCTTCCACGAACTAAAGAAATTCAAAGAGGGTGCAGTTATAAAATATATATTTATTTTATATTTTTTCTTTAGTGTATTATACATTTGAATGTGTTGAATCATAATGTACAATGTATTGCATTGAGAGGAAGCTATATATATATTTTTTTTATTTTAGTTTTGTTTTTAATTTAGGGTGACCAGTTCATGCTGGGCTTGTTGTTGTTACATGTTACATTTGCTTGTTGTTACATGTTACATTTGCTTGTTGTTACATTTGCTTGTTGTTACATGTTACATTTGCATGTGATTTTTCTCCCTAACAACGCTCCATTTCTTTTTTTTATTAGCGCTGTGCATAGTAGCCGGAGCCTCCATCTTCACCGTGCGGCACACGGATTGGCATAAGGACGGGGCCAGTTTCGGATTCGCCTATATCCTGGCATGGGTGGCTTTCCCGCTGTCCGCCATCAGCGGCATCATCTACATCATCCTGAGGAAGCGCGAATAGGCCCCACCCCGGCCGGCCAAACCCAGGAAAGAAGGAAGAGAAGAAAACAAAAAGCTGAATACAAAGTCTAAAGGGGATCCTAAATTATCGAAAAAAACAAACCAAAACATTTCAATCTCCCCTCACCTGACAGAGAGAGGATGGTGGGGGAGGTTCCTGTGTTCATTGAAGATGTAAATAGTATCTGTGGTTTAAAAACCTATTTATAACACTTTTTACATATATGTACATAGTATTGTTTGCTTATTTTGACCTCCTAGCTTCCGTAAGCTAAAAACCAAAAGCAAAAGGTGAAAAAATATATATATAGTATTAGAGTCCACTACAGGAATAAAACACATTTTTTTGTGTGCGGACAACACTCCCAGAAAATACCAAATTTGCGTACCGTACCAAAGCAGTCTTACTTTGTCGTTATCCACCCTGCTCATACATACGGAGGTGAATGCAGCTACCTGACAACGTGGCTCCTATGCCGCTATAAAACGGCCGCCGCGTGAATTAGAGAGAGGCTCGCGGCGCAGCGGCCTGTTTTGAGGCTGAGACTCCAGAGCAGTTGAAAGCCCTCCAGGCCCATTATGAGAGAGAGGAAACGGGCCTGTCAGGGACTTCTACGGGGGTATAGCAATGGCATGCTCAAGCAGGATGGGCAATGAGGCTGACACAGAGGGAGGGTCAACATGCAAAATGCCATTTTTGTTGTTGCACTGAAACTACATACAGAGTACTGTGGGGGTAAAAAAAAAAAAAGTTTAAAATTTGGAAATTACAAGAAAATCTTCTTGGATTTCATCGTTTGTGGGCATTTTGGAGGAAGCAATAAACGTCGGGAACCACCTTGGGTGGAGGCGCGGCGCCAAATGTCACCGTTTCGACGCCGTTTCGCTTCCCCGTTACTGCTTTCTCGCTCTTTATTTCAGTGACTCTCGAATGCCAGCGGAGCTAGTGATTTTTTTCTTTTTCGCACCGCCAGAAAGTGAGAGGGACTGTACCAACAGAACGTGTGCCAGTTTCTAGAGAACTCCAATAATTCTGAAGGAGATTTGCAGTATATGTGTATATATTTTATTTTAACCGATATGCATGTATTATACGTATAGAAATATATCTATTGTTGAACAAGGTAGCCAAAACTTGTTTACTGAAAACGCCTCTTCCTGGGCGAAAAAAAAACAAAAATGAAAAAAAATAATAATAATCGACTTATATTTCCGAAACCTGACTGACAAAAATAAATGAGTTCCTCACTGTGTATAGACTAAAAACGTAAGAAAACCAAAGTGGTGCTATGATCATTTTTTTGGACCATTCCTTTATATTTTAACAGTGACGTCATTTCTGACCCAGTAACGGTTCTTTTTGTCGTTAGTTTTCTTTCTCTTTTGTTATTTTTTTTTCCAAATAAAACCATTGAATTTCTGTCTCGTCCTAAAGTGAGGTCTATGTGAATATTTAATAATAAAAACAAAAAAAACAACAACTGGCTGCTTGGAATTTACCTGAAGTGTTTACTGTGTACTGAGTAGGGAAGAGCAATGACATTTTTGGAAATTCTCACTTTCACTTATTAAAATGCTTAGAAAACATTTGCTCGGGGGCAAAAAAAATCTACTCTGTTTTTTTTTTTTTCCCAGCATGGGGGTGTATTTTTGGGAAGTTTATTTAAAGGAGAACTATGGGGTTAGGGCTTTAACCCATAGTTCTCCTAAGGGTAACGGGAGGACACAAACTAGCGTCCTCCCGTCACCCTAGGCTCAGTATATAGGGAGCTACAGCTCATTATATACTGAGAAGCCACAGCTGAAGCGGATCCCGACAATTATGTCTGGATCCGCCCAGCTGCGTGACTGACAGCTGGCTCTGCCTATCTAGAGGCAGAGCCAGCTGTACCCGCCCCCTCCCCCGTCCGTTCCGCCAGTCAGCGCTGGCGGATCGGAGCGGGGAGGGGGGAATCCAGCCCCTCCCCTGTCACGGCAGAGAGCCGTGACAGGATCGAGAGGTGAGCGAACGCCGGTATGTGTTCGCTCACCTCCCGATCTACTGAGCCGACCTGTGACAGTCTCATTGTCACAGGTCGGCTAGAACTATGAGGTGAGTGAAAAGCACTCACCTCATAGTTCTCCTTTAATTGACAGGGTTATTCACTAAAGGGTGAAGAGTTTGGAGAAAGCGGGAGGAGTGAACAATCTAGGACAACATAGCTGAACTGGAAAGTGAGCTGAATTGGTGAATTTTTCCAAATCATCTATGTTGTCCTAGATTGTTCACTTCTCCGGCCTTTTCCAAACTCTTTACCCTTTTGTGAATAACCCCCTTAGTGTTCTATTTTCCTAATTTTATGGTGTATATTCGACCAATATTTTGCTTTCTATGTTTTGTTTTGTTTTTTAACTGTGAAACAAATGTAAAATAATGAGGCTATTGAGCAAGGATAGCCAACTAATTTTTAGGGGGCACATAGGAATCTGGGACGACTGTGGAGGGCCGGACTGATTAACATGGTACTGCGCAACACACCAACTGTGCATTCAGGGCCTGATTTCCCACAAGGCCAACCAAGGCCCGGACTTGGGGCAGCAGGAAGTAGAGTGGCAGCAGGGGGGTGGAATTCCTATCTCCCGATAACCAAGCGAGTTGTTTTCTACATTTAGCCCTGCTTGGGCAAGCAGAGATAAATGTAAAGCGGAGAAGCCACCGCTTGTGTTGTACAAGTGATCTCGGCGACATTGTATGCAGCCTGCAGGTCTGCCATTCTCCATGGGGGGGGGGGGGGGGGGGGT